ATCTGCCACTCTCCCCGCCTCTCCCCCTCATCCCTCTCATCACCCTCCCCCTCTCCTCATCACCTCCCCCACCCCTTGTCCTCCTCCTCCTCCGCATACTCCTGCTCCCCCTGCTCCTCCTTCTCCTCCTCTTCCTTCTCCTCCCTCCCCCGTCTTCCTTTGGATGAGGACGAGGAGGAACAAGAAGGAGGAGGATGAGGAGGAGGAGGAGCAGGAAGAGGCCGAACGTACCCAAGAAAGCTCCATCCACACTCACTTGCGATCCCCTACGCTGTGCGGGAGGTCAGCTGCGAGAAGGGCAGCTTGGGTGAAATCCACCGCTTCCGAGTCCGAGGGCGCCCGTCGGCCCAGCCCTCTCCGAAGATTTCGGAGGAGGCGATGCGTAGCGGCAAGCCGTGGCCAAGGAAGAGAGCAAAGGAACGAGGGCCAACAACTAGAGCATCGACGACGGTCACGGAAGGCCAGAAATGCCAGTGGTCACCCAGGAAAAGGGTCCACGAGACCTGGCGTAGGGAGCGAGAGAATCTGGGGGCATCACAGCCCATGATGCATCGGGGGTCGGGGCTCCGACGACGAATGTCGCACATCGCACGCCAACCCGCCCGTCCAGGTGCGAATGTGCGCCATGCGCAACAAGGGGCTGCAGCGCTTCGTCCCGCAGGTGAATGCTAGCGGCCACGCCGCGTCTTGGTTACGCGAAGGATGCCGCGGGGAGCTGGTCGCAGGTGCCGCCGTCCTCTCGCATCTGAGCTCTGACCCGCAGCCAGCCGCAGGGCGCGTCCGAGGGCCCAGGGAGGCATGCGCTGCCAGACGGAGAGACCACGCGAACACGGGCACATGCCAGAACGTGGGCCGGGGGCTGCCACCCTCGGCACGCACGGCGAGATGGATCATTGGCATGCGCTCCTCTACCTCCGCAGGAACGCGCGCGCGCACGTCTGCGGCTAGACGCTGGCAGCCCCCAGAGCCGCGCGCATCCGCGCGGTCAAATCGATCGGGGGATGGGGAGGAGGGTGAGGGGGAGGCGGAGGGGGAGGGGGAGGGGGAGGAGGGGGAGGCGGAGGCGAGGGGGAGGGGGAGGGGGGGGGGGAGGGGGGGAGGGGGAGGGGGAGGAGGAGGAGGAGGAGAGGAGGAGGAGGAGGAGGAGGAGGAGGAGGAGGAGGAGAGGAGGAGGAGGAGGAGGAGGGGGAGGAGGAGGAGGCGGAGGAGGAGGAGGAGGAGGAGGGTCACTGAAAGCCTGCGGGTCCATCCACGCAGAACGCGAGGGCCACGAGCAAAAAGGAACCCGGAGGAGGCGGGCGAGGACGCGAGGCTCGTCCGCAACCTCTGGGAGTCTTGGCGCGGGAGGGGCACCGGCTGGCACCTGTGCGGGCGCGTGCTGACCGCTCCCTCCGAACACGGCCGAACCGAGGCGCTCGAACTGGCGGCCGAGCGAGCGACCGCGGTGGCCTGACGGCGCATCTCTCCTTCGAGGATCGTGCCCAACCCAAGGCCCCAGCTCAAATCCGACGATAGCGAGGCCGGGGGCAACATGGAAGTCCGCCCACTCCCTGCACGCTTCTTGGAGCAGCCGGGAGGCCTTTGCCGACACACGAGAAGAGAAGCGCGGCCCGCCACAAAGGGACGCACAGAACCGATTGATGGGCTTGAGGTGGAGATTCGCGATTCCACAAACGACTTGAAACACCCTTGCGAGCACCGCGCGGCCAGGGATTCCCCAAACGACCGCCCCCAAAACATCGGCTTACCAACCTTCGATACCCCACATGATGAGGAGGATTGGGAGGAGGAGGAGGAGGAGGAGGAGGAGGAGAAGGAGGAGGAGGATAAGGCGGTTGGCCAGGAACTCTTGCGAGGATCGTGGCAAACGCAGGGGAGGAACCTCTACGAAGCATGGCCAAACGCCTAACGGTTCGCAGTTACCCCAGAGGGTTTGGGCAATTCCCTGAGAGCTGGAAAACGAAAAGGAAGAAGAGGAGGAGTAGGAGGAGGTAGCACAACGCAGAAAGGAGGCGGGATAAGGAGAGGGCGGAATATAGAGAGCAGACGAAGGAGAAGGAGGAGGAGGAGGAGGAGACGGAGGGAGGAGACGGCGGAGAGGGAGAAGGAGGACGAGGAGGGAGGAGGGGAAGAAGGAGGAGGAGGAGGAGAAGAAGAGGCAAAGAGGAGGAATAGCAACAATCTTCTCCTCCTCCTCCTCCTCCACCTCCTCCTCCCTCTCTCTCTCTCCCTCCCTCCCTCCGTCTCCGTCCTTCTCCTCTCTCCTCCTCCCCCATCCTCCCTCCCTTCTCCTGCTGTGCACTCCTCTTCTGGTGTGGGGGAGCAGCAGGCAGGCGGCACTTCCCCGCCTCGTCCAGCTCCGCGCTCGTCTCGCCGCCGGGGGCCTCGGCGAGCCGAACCCGTGCCCGCGGCGCCACGTGGAGCCGGACTTGCGGCCTCCTCGTCCTGATCCTCCTCGTCCTCCATCCTCTTCGTCCTCCTCCTGCTCATCCCTGATCGTCCTCTTCCGTCCTCATCCTCATCCTCTTCCTTCTCGTCCTCCTTGTCATCCTCGTCCTAATCCTTCTCGTCCTTCTCCTTTCCCAGTCTAGCCGAATATCAACCCAACGCTGAATCCAGGTCCAATCCAAACAACTCCAGTCCTTCTCCCTTTCCCCCTCCGCTTCCTCCTCCTTTTCCTGGTCCTCCTTCCCATCCGCCTGCTCCGTCATGGACGGCACGACGGCATGTCCCGAATATCCGCCCGCACCACCTGCACGTGCAGCGCTCGGGTCCGTCCTCCCTCCTCTCTTCTCGCTCCACTCCGCTCCCAATTCCCTTCCCACCTCCTCCTTTTCGTCATCACCCCCTCCCCGCCTCCTCCTCCTCCTCCCTGTTTTTTCCATCTCCTCCTGTTCCATCCCCTCCTCGCAAACAAAAAATGTCACCAGCCTCCTGCTCACCTTCATGCTCCTCCTGCGCACCTGCTCCTCCCCCTCCTCCTCGGCTCCCTCATCCTGATCATCCTTCTCATCTTCGCCCTCCTTCTTCCCTTCGTCCTCGTGATCCACTTAGCGCCTCCTGTTCGTCCTCGTCATCCCATTCGCCAATTCAACGTCATCCGTTCCGCTCCTTCTCCTCCTCCACATCCACGTCCTCCTCCCCCATTCTGAATCTCGAAGATCCCCTCTCTTATCATGTCTCCCTCCTTCCTCAGCCTGCTCCAATCGCACCTCTCTCGCGCGGCCCTGCCGCACGGAACCCTGGTCAAAGGTGCTCCAATGTGCTTGTCGTGAGCCCGCGTGCGTCTCGCTCGCGGCCGGTGTCCCTCCTGAGTCCGTCCCCCCCGCTTCTTCATCCCTCCCCTCCTCGCACCCCGATCCTCCGCCCCCCCCCCTCCTCGTCGTGTCTTCCTCCCTGCTCCCTCCGCCATTCTTCCTCCCCCCTGTGCTCGTGCGTTTCCTCCTCGTCCTTCCTGCTCTGTCCTGCTTCCTCCGCCCTCCGCTCTGTTTGCCGTTTCGCCCGCCGTCCTTCCCCACCTCCTCTCCTCATGAGACTGCTGGTCTTATTATTCCTCCTCCTCCTCCTCCTCCTCCTCCTCCTCCTCCTCCTTCTCCTCCTCCTCCTCCATCCTCCCCCGATCGCCTCTCCCTCCTCCCCCTGCCCCCCCTTGCTGAGCCGCGGCATCCCGAGCAGAACCCCCGGCGGTGTCGGCGATGGCGGCGACGGCGGCGGCGGTTGACGGACGAACGAGACGTACCACCGTCGTGACGATGTACAGGAGCGGCTGGGGCGACGACGCATCAGCACGACACGACGGGAGCGCGATTCTGCGCGACAAGCACAGCGGCGGCGACGAAGCGCGAGACTTTGCTTCCACCGAGGGGGCTCCTCGCGAGCCTCTGCTTCAACCGACAGCGCGTGTGCTCCTCGCGAGCCTTTGCTTCAGCCGACAGGGCGTGCTGCTCCTCGCGAGCATTTGCGCCAGTCGAGTGAAGAGGTCTGGGAGGGGCTCGAAGTGCACCCCACGTCGCCTTGCTGGCCAGGGAGCTCGTCGCGTTGACGCCCTGGCCTCCCGAGCCATCGGATGCCAAAGCGTCCGTGCGCAGAACCCCCCTTTTTTGAGCAGGGATCGACCGTCCAGGCATTCCTATAGTCATACCACGAAGTGTTCTTAGAACCCAAAAATGTTCTGAGAACAAAAACAATGTCCTTAGAGCATAAACCCGATGCGTTAAAACAATAAAGTCCTAGCCAGAACTGTTCTACAGTTGGGGCGTTGACACAAGGAACACTAAATAAGGAACGAGGCCCTTTCTCCCATAAGTTAAACTCCGATTTTCCATGGGAGACCTCAGGAAACCCAAGGAGCACTGTAAAACAACTGAGGAGCACGGAGCCCCTCCCAAACGAAAAGGGTTCCTTCTTCAGCGCCCCGACTGTACGAACATTTCGTGGGAACCACATTGTCCAAACACTCCTCGACTCCTCGGCCGACCACACGGCGCGGTGCACACGCCGAGCCCCGCAGGAGAGAGCCGCCACAGTGCCGGGGGGACTCGAAAGGCTGCGACCTTGCGCGCCGCAGAGCCCCCCCCCAGGCGCAGCCACGCAGCCCGTGCCCGGCCAGCCCGGCGAACATCTTTGGGGGAGCACATGCCGCCTCCCTGGTGCCACTCAGGTCCAGGTTCACGTCGTCCTCCTCCTCGTCGTCCTCCTCCTCCTCCTCCTCCTACGTATGTTCCTCCTCCTCCTCCTGCGCCTCCCTGCGCCTCTGAGCACATGTGCCCCTCGGAAGACCGGGAAGCGGTCCTGCGGCACAGAGGCCGAAGGCTCCCGGAGAGAGGCCGGGAACGCGCGAGCGGCCAGACTCGCGCGCGGAGCCCACGCGCAGGGTATGCGCCTGCGGAGGCCGGCGCACCAAGCCAGACGGCGGTTGCTTGAGACCCGGAGCACAAACAAGCTGACTTCTCTTGCTTCCGCCAGCTCTTCGGCGCTTTCCGCCGGTGGAGGCGGCCTCGCTACAGTTCCGCCGCCCTTCCGCCGCCTGCCGCCGAGGACGAGCTGCCAACCTCTCGATCCCTCCACGGCGAGGCCCCTCCTGAAACGGCTCGAATTGGTAGCTGAGCTCCGGAAAAACGCGCGCCCACATGAGGCGGATTCTGGAAGCCCTGAATCCGAAGCGCTTGGCACACCTTGGGGTCTTGGCCTTCCCTCCGCCGGCTTCCGCTGGTCTGCCGCCGGCTTCCGCCAGCGGAGCCGCCCTCGTTTGGCATCCGCCAGCTTCCGCCGACCTTCCGCCGCCTCCCGCCGACGAAGAGGTGCCAACTTCTTCGATTCCTTGGCGACGCGTCCCTCTCCAGAACGGCCCTACACGAGGGCCGAAGCGCTGTGCATCCAACTCTGGCCTGGGCCTGCCACCTCATTCGCATCCAGCCTCCCAGAACATCTCTGATCAGATCCACACCTGCATCTGAATCCCAGGGGAAGGAGGGACGGAGATGGCCATACGACACGGTGGAGGGGAACGTGCTGAGAAGGAGCGGGGAGGGAGGGGGGAACGAGGGGGTTAGGAGGCAGGTTGAGGCGGAGCAGGACGAGCAAGAGCTGAGGCAGCTGGTCACGGTGTGGGCAAATGATGCCTGGCCTGAGCGCCGCGCAATCACTGTGGGTGCACCCACAACGTCGTCCAAACATGCGGGGGTGAAAGCGCTGGGTAACGCCTAGGAAGATAAGACGGCCTAGCCCTCGCCTCCTTGCTGGATCGGAAGCCATTCGACTGCCAAGCTGCTTGAGAAACCAGCGTACGACAGGAAGCGAAGAGGAGCATGAGCAGCGGAGAGCAGAGGAGAGCAGGGAAGGGGAGGAAGGCGAGAGAGGGGGGGGCGGAGGAGAGAGAGAGAGAGAGAGAGAGAGAGGGTGCGGGGAAAGGGATGCAGGGGCGGGGGAGCGAAGGGCAGAAGCTGTGGGAATGAAGGAGGAGGAGGAGGAGGAGGAGGATGGGGGAGGGCGTCTCAGGGATGGGGATTGGGGTGGGGGGGATCAGGCAGCGCAGGAGTAGGCCGAGCAGGCAGGGAGGACGACCGAGGTGGAGGAGGTGCAGGACGAGGAGGAAGTGGGCGAGAGAGAGAACGAGGAGGAGGGAGGAGCGGAGGACGGGGAGGAGAGAGGACGCCTCTCTCCCCACCCTCCCGATCCTCGTCTCCCTCGTCCTCCCCCCTCCTGCTTCCACCCCCCGCGGGGGCGCGGGCCGCGGAGCACGCTCTCACGCGATCGACCCCCCGAGGTCGTCCACCTTGTTGAGGAGCGCGTGGCACGAGTCCTGCGCGGGCGTGGCACAGAGGCCATCGGGCCAACGCCTGGCCCTTCAGGCAGACCTTGATGGGGCGTCGGAGGAACTCGCGGGGGACCTCGGAGGAACTCCGGGGACTCCGGGGGACCCTTTGACATGAGGGCAAAGATTCTGGTGCAAACGGATGCTAGATCCAGGGATTTTCCCCCAATCCCGGTTTCCATCCTCAGTCGCTTTGTGACGGTCCCAGGGCCCTCCCAGGAGCTTGAAAACGACGGCAACACTCCACCCCCTCCCCAGGGTGGACAACAGGCGGTGGGGAGTGGCACAGGAGGGGTTGGCGAATCGGCTGCACGTAGCTGTGTTTCCCGGCGCTTCTGGCGCCCGAGGCAGCCATGCATCGAGGGAAGTGCTCGGCGAATGAGCCCGAACCAGCTGTGTGCAACAGATCTCGTCAATGACCACCTTTCCCAATTCCCCCTTCTCTTCTGGCCCGACTTTCATTCATTCGCAACGTGAATGCTCAAAAGTCTCTCACCCCTGTCGACGGTACCGGCCTTTCATTCTAAGATGTTTTTCCCCACCCGGCAATTACGCCTGTATGGTCTGAATCAAGGAGCCCCCGACTAGCCTCGCCCACTCAGCATGCCGTGGCCGCCAGGCCGCAATAGTCATGGGGACCCCGCCTCGCGACTCGCCTCGCCCAACGAAGGTACTGCGGCCGCCAGACCCAAACAATCCGGGTTCTCCCTAGGGATGGATCCCGCCTCGAGAACCCGCATCGCGATCACCACCCTACCAGGGAGGCGCCACAGCATCGAGCCGTCTGTGCGTCACGCCGTCATCACGCCGGCCACAGGCATCTAGAACTACAACATGCCTACACGAATCGCAAACAAGCGTCAATCATACACACCAAGATCATACACCAGCGACAGACACAATGAACACACATCAATGGCACGCGTGAAAAGGTCACACAATGAACATGCATCAAATGTATGGACCAGTAGCACACACAGGTAACATCTAGCCAATGACGTATGCCAACATCAACATCACAAAGACGCACCAATACCGGACGGGGACAACATACACCAGTGACATACGGCAACAACAGCTACCACTCTCGCACACAAATAATATACACGAGCAGCACACATCAACACACGCCGCATAACACGTCAATGCCATGCACCATACCTGGACTACACCAGCAAACACCAACACCATGACACACACCCAGATCTTTCAGAAATGAAAGCATGCATGACGCCAACACACCAACACTGGGCATCAATGATTGGCTTCAGGAGCGCAGATCCGAAGCACACGTGAACACACGTTAGGAGCAACATGGGTGTCGCGCCGCGAAGAGCAGGCAGCGCTAATGCACAACGGCGGCAAGCTATAGAACCCACCAGGGCTATACACCAAGCTGATGCGACCAGAGCAAGCAAAAACATCCTGCACCCAGAACAAGCAACGACATCATAGGGGGCAGCAACTGATATAATAATGCAACGCACTGCATGCATCGTACATGCGTCTCCCACATACCTACCCTTCAAACATCACGCAGTCATCAACATGCGCACACGCAACACATACGTAATATCTGCAGCGGATATGCATCAATGATTCTGTACCGCACGGACAAGTCGACAGACTTCGCAACCCTGTGCAGCAACTCCCTGTTGGGGATCGCGCAGACCAAAACGAAGCCAAGGCTCCAAGGCCCAGTGATGGCCTCCAGAGACCTAAAACAAAGTGGTGTGTTTTACGATTCCTCGGGATTCTACGGGAGCTCGGAGGCCATCGGGGGGCCTCGGGCCTCGTCGGCAAGGGAGACTTCGAAGGGCCCCGAGGGACCTCGGCATGGGCTGCCCCAAGGCAAGAGCTCTGGTGCGCCTGCCCCTGGTGACCTTTAGAAACTGTGCAGTCAACCCTTATAATGTTGACGTTTTTCGAACGAGGTTGGCCAGCGAAAGTCGCTAAGGACGGGCCGAAGAGGAAGGATGAGCGACTTCCCAAGGTTACAAGCCTTGGAAAATCGCTCATCCTTCCTGTGCGGGTCGACTGCACTCCTCTTCCCCCCTTTCCCGAACCCCTCGCGTCGTAAAACGTTGCCACGGGAAGACTTCGACATGTTGTGCCTTTGGTGGCCTCTACCAAGCCACAGCACCGACAAGTGAAACTGACAAAGGGAGCAACCCGTTGTGCTGCGTGCAGCGCAGGGCGTGGCCCTCTCCTAATGCGCCGCGCGCCACAGGATGTGTGGACTTCGGGCCCCCGTGGCGTGCGTCGACATGGGCGGGATGCGGCAGGTGAGCGCTCTCGCTGGGGCCGTCGCTGGATCTCCCTGCGGGGGCACGACGCGTGTGAGGGGCGTACCGACACGAGAAGGGGGTGGCACGTAAACGCCCTCGCTGGGGCTGCTGGTGGGGCCCCCGACGGGGGCACGAAGCGCGTTCGGGCTGCCGCCGAGCGGAGAGGGGGGGGGCAGGTGAACGCCCTCCAGGGGCCGTAGGTGGAGCTCCCGAGGGCGGCACGAAGCGCGTGCGGGCTGCTCCGAAGTGGGCGGGGTGCGGCGTGTGGATGCCTCGACTGGAGCCGCAGGTGGACCTCCCCATGCGGGCAAGGATCGCGTGGAGCGTGTGCTGACGTGGGCGGGTGGCGGCATGTGAACGCACTCACCGGGGTCGTAGGTCGAGCTCCCTGGAGGGGCGCGAAATGCGTAGCAAGGGGTGTGTCGACGTGGGCGGGGGGGCGGCATGAGGATCCAACAAGGCAAGAGGGATGGTAAAGACCACGCAGGGTGAGAAAACCAGTCCCGGGGAAGGGATCACGACCACCGGGGTCCACGTTGTGCGAAACTCCGCGAAACCCGCATGCCGGGGGTGAAAAGGCGTGTGAGGCAGTTGGTTGCACCCTCCCCCCTGGTTCCCGCATCCCCGGGGTCCAACATCCCCTGTTTGGGGGGATGGGCCGATGAGTTTACCAACGCACCTCCAAGACTCCCCAGGCCTCCCAAGTGCAACTTCTGGCGCTTCACTGACGCCCACAAGTCTTCCAAGACGCTCCAGCAGGTCTGCAAGACGCCGAAGTGTTTTGAAGCAGACGCAACATGGCCTTCAGACGGCCCAAGGGGCTGCTCCCGAGACGCCGCAAGAGAACTTCAAGAGAACCCCCACGAGGGTCCTAAGATGGAGCCGTCATTGATTTCCAAAGCGTTTTTACACATTTGAGTGTTCTCGCCTTTTCGGGCTTCCGAAAGCTCATGACGGCCCAACACGCCGCCAGACCAACCCAAGACGTCCCAAGTGGCAAGAGAGCCCCGTGGCGTTCCAAGAGGGCCCCCAAAACGGCCCCACACGCCCCAAAGGCGGCGCAAGACTGGCAAAGAGGCCCCCAAGAGGAGCCTCAGAGAGGCTTTAGTGAGGGAGCTAGACGGAGCTCCCGGAGCCCACCCCCCAAAAAAGCACGCCTCTCAGTATGCCCCCAAACGGCCACAGAGTGCCCCAAGAGGCCCCCAAATGGCCACAGAATGATTCGAGAGAATTCCGACAATTCCCAACATGGCCCCGCAGAAGCCCCGAGATGACTCCAAGACGCCTCCAGACAGATCTGAGAAACCTCTCCCACGAAGCCTTCTGCCCTTCTTCCTGGCCCCGTGCGAACAGACAACTGTATAAGCATAACACGCCCCTAGGAGGCCCACCTAGCAATCCCGATTGGCCACAAGAAAGCATCTGCAACACGCACCTTCAAACTTACGTCACGACTCTGTCCGTCTTTTACCAGCCTCGAACGTATCCCTATCCCCAAGATTGACACGCCAAAAGGCGATGACAATCTTAGGGATGCGCCCTCAAAAAATAAGGGGATCCCTAGGATTGGCATCGTGATGGGGAGATGCCCAGCACAGGGATAGGGATATGTTCCAGGCTGGTAAGTCTTGGGGATCGGCGAAATGGCGGAAGCCACCTGAAACGATGTAGGACGTCTGGGTTCTTCCATCTTGCTCCGTCTTTGCCTCAGCCCCTGGCCTTTCCTGGTCGTCATCCTCCGTTTCCTCCTCATCCTCCTCATTCGCCTCACTGCCCTCCTCCTTCTCCCTCGTGCCGTCTTTCTCGTGTCACTTGCAGTCAGGGTAAGAACGTGGTGCCGACATGAACTGTGAGTCGATGGTGGCCTCCTCCATCCTCGTCATCGTCCCTCTGCTCCTCCGTGTCCTCCTCAGCCCCTGCCCTAGGTCCTGTTGCATGCCCTCCTCATCTTCCTGCTCCTCCGCTTCTCTCGCTGTCCTCCTTCTCCTCCGGCCCTTCCTCCTCCACCCTCCTCACTAGCTTCCGGCTCGCCCACTAGGGCAGAATACAACGTCAACGCGCCCGTGTGCCACAGGCTGCCATAGTGCACAGCGAATGCTCATGACTCGCATCCTGCTCACGCTGCTGCTGCTCCTCCTGCTCATCACCCCTCTTCCCGTCGGTCATTCATCCTCTCTGCTCCCTACTCAATCCCCTCCTCCCTTCTCTTCCTCTGCCTGCCTCTCCCATTCCCCCCTACGCTGTCCGCTCCTGGACTGCGCACATGATCTTTCGCAGGGTCTCCAAATTTTCTTCCTGTGCGGAAATCAAATCTGACACCGCTTCTTCTTCATCCTCCGCGATGTGGCTCATGCCGTCGAAGATATCCTGTGCATCCGCCTCTGGCATGCCGCTGTTTACAAACGGCTTCACTTGATGCATCACGAACATCTCGGTATCCGCGTGGGCGCTTGCCTTGAGCCTCCACATGAGGAGGAGGTAAGCGCTCGGGCCCGATCTCCTGGGACAGAGTACCCACTTCGAATGGCTCTTCACATCGTAACTGCCACGAACCACAAAGCGCGTCAGGTAGGCGCAAAGCATCTCCACGCAGGGCCACTTGAGAGGCATATGGTGGGGTACCGAAGAGGATGAGGAGAAGGAGGAGCAGGGGCAGGAGCAGGAGCAGGATACGCAAGATGAGCAGGAGCGTGAGGAGCAGGTACCAGCCAAGATGGACTGACGACGCTCACGTCGGTCGAGAAGCTTTGGACCGAAGGTAGCGTAATAAAAGACATCTCGTTCGGCAGGTTGATTGGGTTATTGATCCTGTTCATGCAGCCAAGCCATATGAACAGCCAGCATGGTAAAGCACAACAGTCAAACTTCTTGTAACAGTCTCTCTTCCAGAAGAACACACGGGCTGATGTGACGGCTACGTCTAGATCCGTCACCGTGCACCCTGGCACGCTGAGACGTGGCAGAATGCCAACAACTCTCTGGTAAGGTGTACAGTCGAGGCGTTGACCTAAGGAACCCTACATAAGGAACGGGGCCCCATTTTTCCAGAAGTCGAACTTTGATTCCCCATCGAAAACCTAAGGACAACCTCAGGCCAGCTGTAACACAATGAAGGAACACGGAGCCCCTCCCCAACGAGACGGGTTCCTTCTTCAGCGCCCCGACTGTATGTGCTCTTCTAGACGGCACTTCGCGGCATGCACGCCACCCCCCCCCCCTTCCCTCCCGGTGCTCTCTGGGCGCCCCAGTCGCCTCCCTGGCGCTATCCAGAGCCTCCCGGGGGGGGGGCCACGATGGCCTCCGAGACGGCCCAGGCGAGCCACCAAGGCCGCCGAGATGGCCCTTATCTGCCTCCAAGGCTGCACAAAAAATGGCCCGTCCCCGCAAATTCCCCCGCCCTACAGGCCTCGGAACAAATTAGCGAACACATGCCACATTCATCCGTCAACGCTTCCCCCTCCCCGCAATGTTCAAAGTTGGCGGTGGGTCTGATGAGATGCACTTCGACCGCAGTCTCCCCCGCGCGTGCCAACGTTGAGTTTGGGGGGGGGGGAATGTTCAGTAATTGTTTCCCTCTACCGTATCACAATGGTAAGCGAAGCGTCGGGAATCAGAACCACTGGCTGCCCGTGTGCGTTTGGATGATTCTCGTGTTTTCGCTGTTTCGAGCTTCCGTCGGCCGAAGACGGCCCAAGAGGCCCCCAAGATGGCCCCAAGGCACCCGAAGAGGCTCAAGACGGCCTCAAGAAAGCCCACGAGCCCTTCCAAGACGGCCCAAGAGGCCTCCATTATCGCTTCAAGACGACCCAAGGAGAGGCCCCAAGACGGCCCAGAGAGAGAGAGCCCAACCACAGACTTCGAATGCGCCAGACTGCCCACCGATGCCCTAGGACGGCCCAGTGAGCCACCACTGGACCCCGAGAAGGGAGGCCTCTCAGAGGCCCCAAGAAAAAACTATGACAAAGAAGAGGGAGAAAAATGACGAACACGAAGAGAGACACCCCGACACGACACGGAAGACAGCGTCACAAGTCACGGCGTACCCCCGCCTGGGGGCACGAGGTGTCACGCGTCTGGGGGCCTCCCGTGCGCTCCCCTGCCAGTCGCCACTCGAAGGGCTGAGCTGGCGCGGTGGCAGGACTTGCCGTAGGCAGCTGGATTAAAATAACACTTCGAATATATGTCGGTTGTGTTCTTAACGGAAAGGTGGAAGAGCATCTTTTCCTTGCTCCCACTTGCCAAATAGAGCGTGGGCTGCGGCTGTACTACATCATCTGACTGCGGCCGGATGGTGAATCGGTTACCTTGCTTACTGCTGGCCGCAATGAACGCTCTGTTCACGATTTCTTTGCAAGCCGACGGGACAACGCCATTCTCGACCAAGTCCTTATCAGTGATGAACTCTGGAATGTGCCTGGAAAGGCTCATGATCATGTTGTAAACATCGGCGATGTCTCCGTGGTCTCGCGTGAATTGTATGGCCCCGAACTTGGTTTGCATCACTGCTGTCCCGGGAAGGAATTTCTCCCGCAAGAGAACCTGGTGTATGATGCGCTGGGGCGTGTTAAGCTTGTGCCGGGCCATCTTGCCGTACGTTACGTCGTGGTCGTGCCTGAAGACGTCAACGCGCAGGTCGGTCCCAAGGCATTTGAATGGTAAGAACGGTCGTCGGTGGCGCACGTAGAACACACGGCGATCGGTGACAACCACGGCATGACGAGTTTTCCCAAACGGCAGCAGCAGATACCACACCTTGCCCATCAAAATGTCCATAAGGGTGATACTTGGTGGCAAGAGCGGCATCTCAATCCAACCAGCTATAACCTCCTCATCCTTCTCGATGCCCAACAGCTTCTTTGGCACCTGGAGCCTCAAAGTCCAGCGCGTGTCGGGCACGGCGTGGAGGTCCTTATTGAAAAAATCCTTCCAAGTGTCAAATTCGTCGGTCATCGCGAAATGCCTGACGCCAGTCCAATTGTCCTTATCCTCCTCCGATGCCTCGAAACCGTGGCTCAATCCGTGGTCTTTCGAATTCTGGTTCATTATTGTCTGTAAGAAGTCGTTCGCCAGAGGCACCGTAAGAGCGGTATTTGCTGTCAGTGTCTTGAAGGACCGCTTTGTTCGTCGATTGATAGTGACGGTCACGTGGTCTGTCGCTCGTGTCATGTTGATTGCGTGCTTGGCAGCCAAAAATGCAAAGATAATTGTGCCCGTGTCAGCGACCAAGCTTATGATGGTCTTGATGTTTCCTGACGTGCCCTCGTCGTAGATACCCTCGAAAGCACCTTTGGCACAGCCGGCACAACAAGGTGGCGTTTTTTGATACTTCGTGCACTCGGTTTCGTCGTCGCTTACCTTCACGAGATTGCAGAAATGTGGGTTGACAGTGTCGTGATCGTGCATGATGTAATTGTCGCAATGCAACTTGTTGCATTGTGCGTCCGTTGGCCCTGAGCCTTCGATGCAATAGCCCTGCATTACGGCGAAGTGCTCTAGTGCGATGGCACGGTCCATCCACGAGATTCCAGTGTCGACGCTCGTGACAAGAGTCAAGAATAGAGTCAAGGAGAATATCAGCGCGGAAGTACTCATGCCTGTGCTGATCGCAGAGAGCGAAGATAGCGGCACCGTGCTCACAGCGTGCCCGAACCCCAGGCTGCCCTGCATATCCAGAACGGCCTGGCTCGGATACTTCCCGAAATACAAGTGAAGACTACTGCGGCGTGCGAACATCCAGCCCCACTGGCAAATTTGTGCTGTGGTGCACTCTCGAGCCATGTGCCGTCGACGATGCTCATCCATGTAACCATGTGGGAGCAAGCTATACAACCACAGTAACAAGATAATCACAGATATTACAATAAATGGAAGCTTCTTTGATATGAGCTTATCTATGTGTTTGAAATCATCCGTTTCTGCTCTCAAGTACTCGATCTCGTCATCTAAAGTCGTGTTCGTGGCCAACATGAACACTATATTGGGCAAGAGCACAATGAAAAACAATATCGCCATGTACTTGATGAAGCTCTGCAGAACCTCGCCAGAGGTCCCTGGACAGCACAGCGGCCTGTCGATCTTCAGCTGGATGACGTTGCCCTGTTTTGTGAGAACCAACATGATGTCATCGTCACGGCCTCTGAAGATCCGCTGTCGCGCCCCCCCGCCTCGAGGCGTCGGCCCCCACCCGCCCCTCCCTCGCGGCTCTCCTCGACAGACAAGGACATGCCCCTCCTTGCAACCCCGACGCGGCCTGTCAAGCGTGCGCCCTGTCTGCCCACATTCTCCCTCCGAGCCCCCGACGTCGACGACGACGACGACGACGACGTGGGTCATAGCCTCGCCCGAAAGCAGGGAGACGACCTGTGCGCAGCTCGGGGTTTGCGGCAGCGGGCCTCTCGCGCGCGGTGTGGCGGACATGCGCGGCCGCGCGCCCGGATGAGGTACAGGCCCAGCGTGACGATGGCGAAGAAGACCATGGACTTGTAGCCAGCCGCCTCGCTCCGTAGCTGGCCCTCCTCCTCCTCCTCCTCCCAAGAGGCCGGACAAGACAAACCGAAACAGCTGACTCCCGCCAGCATGGCCGACCCGCTCCCGAAGCCCCGCGACCCTCGGCGTTCTGCCGGCCCCAGGCCTCGTTCCTGATGACCACGACGCGCTCGAGGTCTTTGCCCTCCAACTCTTGGCCCAAGTTGTCGTAGACCACCTTGAAGGTCTCTCTTTTCAGCTGCTCGCGCTCCTGGTTCCGAGCCGCTCATCCTTATCCCTGTCCCGCGCTGAACGGAGGAGAGTCGAGAAGGATGAACAAGCTGTTGAGAAAGTGTGAAAAAAGAGTTTTGGCGACGGGAGCGGAGGAGGAAGTGAGCGACGAGAACATAGGGATTGGTTGAACAAGAGCAGGAATTAAAAGAAGAGGGGAACGGAAATCGGAGGGTGTGAGATGGACCACTGATGGTGAGTGAGGAGTGGGATGAATAGAATGGAGGATGAGGCTGAGAGTGAACAGAAGGAAGGGCAATAACAAGACCTTGAGGAGAGGGAGGAACCCAACAAAGAAGTGTCAAGGAAGACACACGTGCTGGCATGCCAGTTTTTTATGTGATGTCTGCTGTAGTGGAGAGTAGGGAAAGCAGAACATATAGAACGAAACGGTGGGATCAGGGAGGAACAAGGAGAAAGGATGGGGAAGAAAGGAGGGCGGGATTTTTTGGACTGCTCCCTCCCGCCCAAATCCCCTGGGCGGCGGGAGGTAGGGCGAAGATGCGGACGCTGGGCCGAGGTTGGAACGACTGGGGCAAAAAAGGGAAACATGATGATGATGATAATGCTGATGATGATGATGATGATGATGATGATGATGATGATGATGATGATGATGATGATGATGATGATGATGATGATGATGATGATGATGGTACATCTGAAGATGCCGATGATGACGATGGTGATGGTGTTATTGATGATGGTGGTGGGAAATGTGATAACGACTGGGAATATGAGCATGATGACGATGGTGATGGAAACGATGATGGTGACGATGATGACGGTGATGTTGTTGTCGATGCTGGTGATGGTGATGATGATGATGATGATGGTAATTGTGAAGTTGTCAGGCTCCATAATGGGGGGCTCAACTTCGCTGGATGAGCAACTCTCGAATGGCACGCTTGCGCTTGATGATGGCGCGTGCACGACCCCTCATCAACGCCTCGATCCCGCTAAGCAAATCCTACGAGAAGCCGTGTTTCACCCTCGCAGCCTTCTCTAGCGGGAGCAGGACGCCGTGCACAAGAACGGCACCGTGCAAGGCTCTCGCGTGAGGCGCTCGGGGTCGCAGTCAAATGCGGCCAATGGCACTCCGCTCGGCAAAACTCGGGCGGCAGCGACGGGGCAACGAGAGGGAGGGGCGGCAAAAGCACTGGGCATTGGAACTGGTGTATAATGTGCAAGGAACCCTGGGCTCCACGCCCCATCAGGCAACACCGATTCCCACATCGAAAGCGAGCACGAGTCGGCCAGGCATTACACATGGGTTTATCAATCAGTGGAGGCAGTGCGTGGGGCCTGTTTGGTCGCGGCAAGGAACATGGCTCGTTTTGACTGTTTGAAGCCATCGCCGCGGCTCACAGGGGCCTTGCCCCAGAATTATCGAATCCTCGGGAACACCCGGGGGGGATGGAGGTCCACCCGATTTTCTTGGCAATCCGCGTGGCCACCTGTCTCTGAAGCTCATGTGCACGCGCGTCGACGAGGGGGTAAATCTGAAAAGCCCTGCGCCCGCTCTCAAGAATCGAGCGCAACCGAAATTCCCGAGCCGCTCTCTGTGTCGGACCACCGCCGACCTCTCGACGTCATAATCCGAACGCCAGGTGGAACCTGTCCTTGGCGTGGTCGAAAGCTCCGCTCCTACGGGCGGCCCTAACACATGCTGGCGCGACTGGTGGCCAGGAGATTCGCGGGTTCCACGGGGAATCCGGCATCCAGGGAATGCATGAGAAAAGGGGCGGGGATGGTGCGCCCGGGCCCATGGAGCAACCTCTGGAGAGCAATTCTTTCAGCTCGGACCACCTCGGGCCTGGCGGGAAGCGCCTGCAACGCGCGCGCCAGCGCGGAAAAAAAAGCCAGAGAGCTGTGCGCGGAGATGCTCTGGACCAAGCTTAAACCAAACATATTGACGTGCCTCGTCCTGGGAAGGAGTTTGGCGTGCACATGGGGCTCAAGAAACAGCGTTGGTGACTTCTGCGTTGTCGCTGTACTGCCACTCGCCAAAATGGCTGTCCTGGCGCGAGTTCAAGTTTTTCCACTGCCTTCGCGTCCATGTCGACCTTGGCGTCCACGTCTCTGCACCGGGTGGCGCTGCGTCTTGTGGCCCCCCCGCGGCCCAGCACCTCGTGCACCACTGGCTCTCCTCTCCGCAGCGGAAGCCTCCGCATCCCGTGCACGTCGCGCGCTCGCCTTGGGCACCTGCGGGCGCCATGGTTCCGTGGTGCGTCTCCAGGACCTGGACACGTCGTCCATCTCTCATCGTGCTCGTTTCTCATCGTGCTCGCTTCTGATTTTCTTGCCTGCCCCCCTGGTGGCCAGGAAGGGGCCCAGGACAGGAGGCTTAGCCATGAAAGGCTCACGGCCCCCCCAAACAAAAATCCAACGGCTTCCAAAACAACTTAGAAACGAACAGTGTGGGCGTTCTGCTCCCGCCCGAGGCGCCTCCTTGCGCTCGAGCGCTGGCGCCGCTCCCTGCCGCGCCAGGGGCAGGGGAGGAGCGCGCGCGGGCCGCCCCGGTCGCCCCTCCGTGGGGGCTCTGGGGGGCCCGTGTGGCGCCGCGGGCCGACCGCCGCGCGGCAGCAGGGGCTGCGGGGCCGCGCTGCCGAAGGCCACGCCGGGGGGAGGGGGAGGGGGGAGGAGGAGGGAGGAGGGGGACGAGGGGGAGGAGGGGAAGGAGGGGGAGGACAGAGGAGGAGGAGGGGACAAAGGAAGGAGGAGGGGAGGGGGAGGGCGGAGGAAAGGGGGGGAAGGGGGAGGGAGGAGGAGGAGGACGACGGTGGGTGCGAGGGAAACGAGGTGAACGAGATGTGACGAGGATCATGGTGAGGATGCAGGTGCGGGAGGCGGGGAGGGGAGGGAGGGAGCGGAGAGGAGGGAGGATGAGGGCGGGGAGGAAAGAGGAAACGGTGACGAGGGAGGTCGCCGAGAGGGAGGGGTGAAGCGGAGGAGGGGCAGGAGAAAGAGGGAGGAAAGCTGAGACAGCGAGGAGAAATTTTGTAATACGTGAAATTCAGGGATGATAAGGGGAGCCCCCAATGGGGGCGGGCCGACGAGGACGCCAAAAACGTTCAGACGGTCCAGCATGCTCCCAACCCTCCACATGATCCCAAGATGGCCCCAAAGACCCTCAAATGCCCTCCACATGATCCCAGAGAGAGACTGGGAGAACATTTACCGGAAAAATCGCTTTGTGCGTGCACCTTCTATGGTATATGGCCCAACCTGACGCAACGGCGGCCAAGAGGGCGAGACAGGGATAGAAAGGGGGTACACCAAGAACATAGGAGGCCACTAAGACAACGAGCTTCGCAGTCACCGCAAATAACTTAATAACATAATTGAAGGGGGGAGTACGCAAGGATAAGGAGAGAGGGAGGGGGGATGGAGGAACTATGAGAAGCCGGGTTAGGAGGAAGAAGAAGGGAAAGCAAGACAGAGGGGGGGGGAAGGAGGAGGAGGAGGAGGAGAGGAGGAGGAGGAGTGGGCCAGACAAACGGAGACGGACAGGAAGGTGGGGGGAGGCGGAGAAGGGAAAACGACAGGAGGTCGGGAGAACCATACGGAGAGCGAGGGATATTATCCCATGCTCCCTTCCTCCATCCTTCCTTCTTCACGTCCTCCTCCCTTCTGACTCCCCCTTGATCTATACATCTCAAGGGGGTCCCAAACTCTCCTTCCCTTAATGCTTTACAAGGGCCACCTGCTCAAACGGACTGTCTGATTTCATTGGGCACTGGTCGCCTCCATGCAGCGTTACGGTGGTAATCCTGACCCTCTCTTCCCTCATTTCTTCTTCCTCCCTCCCCTTCTCCTCCTCGTTCATCCTCTCTGTGTCTCTCTCTCTCTCTCTCTCTTTTCCCCTGTCTCTCTCTCCCTCTTTCTTCCTCTCTTGATTGTTCTCCCTCGCTCTCTTTTTTCTCTTTCTCTCTCTCTCTCTCTCTCTCTCTCTATGCCTCTCCCTCTCTCTGTCTACATGAATACGTACATTATGCACACTACTCGTAAGAAGACCCCGAGACCCAGGGGAGAGGGCGAGACAATCTAACAACGATCCCGCCTCTCTTTCTATGTTTGTGTGTTCTCCCTCTCTCTCTCTCGCCCATCTCGCTCTGTCTATGTTTCTCTCTCTCTCTCTCTCTCTCTGTATGTGTGTCATTATTGGTTTAGTTATTTCTTTATTTCTTTCTCTCTCTCTCTCTCTCTGCTGCCGTTCGCGCTCCTGCTCGGTCGCGGCTGTCGCCATCAGCTGGTCAATGCGCTTGGCTGCTGGGGACTTCCTCGCCTCGTCCATCCACCTGCAAGGACGAGGGCTCCGCGCGAGAAGGGTGGATGAGGAGAACGATCACAGACGTGGG